TGGGCGATCTCGGGTACCAGACATCTCCCCGAAGAAGACCGCGACAAGAGTCGCGTACTCCTTCAGGTCCGCAGTCGTCTCAATCATCGCTGCTGTACTCCCCCGGGTACCAGCTGCCCCCAATTTAATTTTATGAATTTGGGAGAAGGGCGCGTGGGCTGGGTGCACGAAGCAACTCGTATTTAGACCCTGTACAGGAGAAACCACCGCAAAGCAGTGCGAGAAGTACTACAGGACCCCGCTGACTTTTACCAGGTGCCAAAGCAGCGGGTGCACCAGTACTTCAAGCAGTTATACTGCGACCAGGGCCGACTGGATAGCGCCAAAGCGGAGGAGGAACACGTTGAACCCTCGACGCCGAAAGATGTTGCGCGCCTCACGGATCCCTTCGCGGAACGAAAGGTGGACCGCCGGCTTCGGCATGACTAATTCTGCGCCGGAGCCTGACGGTGTTACTTACCGTGACCTCCGCAGAGCGGATCCTGAAGTGCGCTTATTAGCAGCGCTGTTTAACATCTGCATCCGGCAGTCCCCGCGTCCTGGAAGACCTCCAACAACTGTGTTAATTTTTAAGAAACAAAACCGCGACGATTTGAAAAATTGACGCCCTTTCGCTCTTTGCGACACTATGCCGAAGTTCGCCGCTCTCGTGGCCAATCGTTTCACAGACTAGGGTCGACCAGGAAAAACTTAGTTTAGCACAGAAGAGGTTCCTGTGGGACAAGGGGTGTTATGAGCATAACTTTATCTTGCAGGAGATCCTGACTGATGCGCAGAGGAACCGCAGACAGGCGGTTGTCGTGTGGCTGGACCTTTCCAACGCGTTTGGCTCGGTCCCGCATGCGACGATCCGCTGCGCTTTCGTCCGAGCTGGCGAGCCGCGGAAAGTCATAGAAATATGGCGATCCATGTACGACAATTGCACGACTCGGGTTCGCACCGTCGAGGGCTACACCGCGTCCAACACCGCGCTATCAACATTCGCTTGGGAGTAATCCAAGGTTGTACGCTGAGCCCCATCGCCTTTGACCTCGCCATCGATTCGATGCTGCGTATAGCTGCCGGGGCGGAGGCGGAGTATGATCTGAATGGGATGAAAATGGGGGAAGGCCTATTTGGCCTACGCGGACGACATTGCACTGGTGTCCGACACGCCTGAGGGAATGGAGCGGCTTCTAGCCGAGTGGCCTTCACTTAAACACCGTACAATTAGACACCGTGCAAAGACACAGTGCAAATAAACACGATACTTTGCACACGGTTCTATTAGGCACCGTTCAGTTGCGCACCGTTCACTTGCATACCGTTCAGTTGCGCACCGCTCACTTGCACACCGCTCACTTAGACACCGCTTATTTGCACACCGCTCAATTAGACACAGAAAGATGCGCACCGCTCACTTGCACACTGCTTACTTAGACACCGTTTATTTGTGCACCGCTCAGACACAGAAAGATGCGCACCGTTTTCTTGCACACTACTCATTTAAACACCGTTTATTTGCACATCGTTTATTTGCGCACGAAAAGACGTGCCCTGTTTATTAGGACGCTTAAAATATACACTCTTTGAATATGTAATAAGTGTGAAATAAAATAAAAATTAATTTTGGAAAAATATGATTAGTGTTCTTATTTTATTTCAGTAAATATATATGCAACTGAAAGTTAAAAACCTCGCGTGGAAAGTTGCAAACCCATATAGAATCTCGCTTTGCGTGGAAAATGTATGCGTGACGGCAGTGTTCT